CTCGTGGCTCACAACATGGTCACCTCTCCTCAACAACCAAACTACAACTCATCTCTTCCGGTGAGCTTGTGATATGTTTACATTTCTGCAGGAGCGCCCATTGGGCAGAACTTCAAAACTTCCAGGGGTTTCCACCCCTTGGGGTCTACCACTTAATTTAGCCTCTGGGGAAAACAAAGTCCAAACCACTACACGTGGACATTACGTGTTAGCTTTTGTAGGACTATGTAAAGAATAATTTTGCCTTTATTTATGGAACTTAATAGTTTTGAAACATTAACTGTATATGATAATCTAATCTTAACTACTCAATATTAAACCCTGTATCCTCAATTATTTTAGTTTGTTTTGGTTTGGAGGGAAGTGACTTGGTCAGTTGCAGTGGATTATATCCTTCATGTCGGTAATTGATCCTCTTCAAACCATTTTATGCAGAAAAATATTAAGCAATTAAATGGGCTTTGTCAAACAACAATGTAAAAGGCATTTTTGCTTTTACTGAATAGGTTAAGGAAGCAATTAATTGTTTAAGATGTCTTGCCCCCAGCAATTCTTTGTTGCTTATCCTATAATTGTGTCTCTTCTTATTCTGGACAGTTTAAATTTGTTTTGTTGTGACCTTTTGTATACTGCTTCTTTGTTGATTGGAATTACATGCATACAGAAAAAAAATAGAATACTTCTTTCCTGTTCTACCATCGTGGGAAGTTCAGAGGGGGAATGTATCCTTCATATTCCTTGATTTAAAAAAAAGAAGGAAAGCTTTAATGTGTTTTTCTTTTTGAAAATATGGTTAGAATCAGACTTTTGGTAGTTGGAAATGGTACACTCTGTCTGTTGAGTCACTAGAAGTGCAATACAAAGACTTGTATTTCAGAACTCTGTTGTAGCCATGTGTTCATATAAGCACTGCTGTGAACCAACTTAGTAGAATATTTCCTTTTCCAGAGTGCCTTAATGCCTGCTCAGTTATTCTTCAAGACAGAAGATGGAGGCAAATATCCAGTAATTTTTAAGCATGGTGATGATTTACGTCAAGATCAACTTATTCTTCAGATTATTTCACTCATGGATAAGGTGAGAATTATTAATCGCCATCCTTGTCTTTCAGTTTTCATGATTTTCCTTGTCAAAAGCAAGACTGTTAAACACTGTTAATGCAGCTTGTATTGCTAATACATTACAGAGTTCTCAGATCTTAGATGGCTTTTTTTCTTTTCGTTATAGTCATGCAATTATCCTGTGTAGATTATATTTTTTTGTTTTTTTGTTAAATTGCCATACAGGCTTTCACTCATTATCAGTTTGAGTGAGAAACAGTGGAGATCAATGTCCAGTACATATGCTTTCAGAATGGAATCTGCCTTTCTGTTTAATTCATCTTTGCTTCTTTGTGTTGTGTTTTTTTGGTTGTTTGTTTGTTTTTTTCCCCAGCTCTTAAGGAAGGAGAATCTGGACTTGAAGCTGACACCCTATAAAGTGCTGGCAACTAGTACGAAACATGGTATGAATACTGTTATTTCCTAAAAATACAGTATGGAAAGGAAACTTATCCCTATGTTCATAGACAGTGTGTAACAAAATCTTGTTGCAATGCAAGTCATGAAAATAAACAACCTAAGTGACCACATTATTCCATAGGTCAGTCAGATACCTTCAATAAAAGAAGCCTGGTCTGGATTTTGGAGTAGGTGACAATCAGTAGTGTGTCAGTCTTTACTGGTAGCTTGTTGTCTGATCTCGAACAAATAACACTCATATTTAGGGATGTTTGCATGAAATTGAGGAGAAAAGCAAAACAGAATCAAACTTGGCTCTGCTTTTAGATACATTCTTGATAAATATTTAGAAAGCCATTAAGATTCTTTCTCTTCTCACAAAAACTTGGAACAACAGACCTTTTGCAAGCTAATTTGATGTTAGTAACAAGTTGTTTTAAAACTATTGAAGGCAGAAAATTGGAACATGGGACAAAAATGTGGTTTTTTTTTCTGATGAGAAGCAGTGTGTATTAATGTTGTCTGTTCATAAACATGCATTATAGAGTAGCTTGACAGTTCTGTGTGTTGGAAACCTTCTGGTTGTTTTCTGTCACAGGCTTCATGCAGTTTATTCAGTCAGTACCAGTTGCAGAAGTTCTTGCTACTGAGGAAACAATACAGGTATGTGATGAGGGAATTTTAAGTTGTCTTCTGATCAAACAGTGTAGCTTGCAGGTGTAGATCTGTACAAAATTCCTTCAGTCTATCACCTAATTTTTTTATCTGTGGTTAGAATACAAATTATGGCTTGAAACATTAAGAGTATTTACAGCAGATGTTTTGCTTTAAAAATATATACTTAAATGACTGCTTGAGTATCTTGTGTTCTGAAAGTAATATGATTTAAATAATTAAAGTGTAATTTAGTTGTGAAATTGAAATTCTAGCTTTGCTGTAATGATGAATGGGAGATACCTGACACTTTTTTCTGAACTTTTTTGTTTCACAACGTTTGTCATTCATTCATTAGCTTTGACGTGACACCTTGTCAAAGTATGCTATAACAGTTCTTTTGATGTAACAACTAGTTTGTTCATATTACTGAAGACTGTTTCCTTGACACAGTGGATGTTTAGATACTATAACTTGGCTTTGTTAGCAAACTTTCTGTAATTCTCATGGAATTGAGTAGGGACACACAGCAATAGTGGCACACAAAACTCATGCTAGGTCGAAGCACACCACACAAAGCCAAGCTAGGTAGCAGAGATCAGCTGGTTGAGATAAATATAGATAGATAAAAACATACTGAATTGCCGTATGAGGTAAAGAGCTACTAAGTTTTTTAATGAAAATAGAACATATTTGTGTGGATTCAACTTGTCACAGTACCTGTTTTCAGTTTTTTGTAGTTGATAATGAAGTTTGCATTTGTTTATAACTCAGTAACAGTGGGCCAAAGCACACTAGCTCCTGGCTCCTAAAAACTACATATATTAAAAATATGGAGATTAAAATTTTCTTACCATTGGTCATTATCATTTGCTTAACAGATAAGCATATCAAATGCTTATCACTTATAAAAAATGCTTGTCATTTATCAATGGGCAGCATAAGTTTATTATCAAGTTGCATAAGTTTATGTAGCTTTCCATTCTGTAAAGGTTATGATAAGCTACAGCTGCACAGTCAATAATCATACAATCAAGTGTTTTCTTGGGAATCCTTTGTAATCTTAAAAGTGTACTATTCATAATTTAGTCCATTATGTGTTTTTATAAAATAATATCTTTAGAAATCTCAGATCTTTGTTTGCAAAGCCCAGCCATGTTCTTTAGAAATGCTTGTGAAACTGTCATTTTGCAATTACTTATTACATCAAATTCCGATAGGAAATAGGTGTTTTTGTTGCTGTGGAGACATAAGAAGCAATTGTTCCTGTAAAGAATTATTAATCCAAATAGACAAAACACAAAAAGAATGAGATCTTAGTTTGCTGCACTGATCAATGGCAAAATACATTACAGAGCCCAGATTTCCTGTGCTGAGGCATGACAGAATAGCATTGTAGGTCAGGGAAATAAAAACTACTGAATTAGGTGTTGTAAAAGTTTGTTTTACTCCTCCTGTAAATGTTCATTTTGGATTTCACAGCTGTTCTAATAAAGATCAGCATTGTATATAAACATTAACTTCTGAAAAGATTCAAAGCAAGTAATCCAATACTGGCTGTTAATGCAGATCTGCAGGAAAGAAAAGGTGTTTTGATATTTGAGTGTTACTTACCTTCTATCAGCAGTCTTAGAATGACAGTTCATGTTTTAGAATTTCATTGAAATAGTTGTCTTAATTTTTTCATTATGATTTTAGTCACCTGTACGCATCCAGGTGACCACTATGCTCCTCTTAAGTGCTCATCCTCAATGCTTGCTTAGATTTTTCTTAATGGAACAAACTTGTTCTTAGACTTGGATTTAGTTTAATGATCTTTTCTCTTAGTCACGAAAAAAACAGTTTTCTTCTGGCTGGTGGTTAGGACTGTTTTGGCCCTGTCCACATTTCACAGGAAATGTCAAGTTTTTATTATAATAAATTGAGATATTATAATAACCTGGGTTTATTTTCTTTTTAAACTCAGTAGCAGCACCTGGTTTTCTTGAGGAATAGGGAGACATATAATGATGATAAACCTTGTAGGAGACTGCTTCCCAAATGAAGTTACAAAGCAGGACCCTTAATCCTGGTTTAGTTTTTGTTGACCTGACCTAAACAATTTGCTTGGAAAGTGTTGTCACTCATTGATTAGTAACTTTTAGATGCATTGGTAATTTTATGAAACATTTAATAAATAAAAGTGCTTTTCAATTTGTGTGTTGAGTGTACGAATGTGATGATTGAGACAGAAAATAAGTAAAGATCTTATTAAATAAGATCTTACTAGGTATTTTGGGAGTGGTTGTTAGTTTAACAGATTTTAATAATGACCATTTGTGGTCTTGGTTCAGATATTTTTTTTCTGAAGATCCAATTTCATATCATGTGGAATAACTAAATATCTTCATGACATTCTCTCCAGAACTTCTTCAGAAAACATGCACCTAGTGACACTGGCCCTCATGGGATAAGTGCAGAGGTGATGGACACATATGTTAAGAGCTGTGGTAAGTTACAGTCTTACAGCTGATAACTTCATACCTGAAGTCTAAAGGATGAAGGGGATGAGGTGTTTGAGACATTTCAGTTTAGATGACTGCAAACAGGACACTGTGCATGTACTTGCTGTCAGAATTCCTGGGAAAAGGATCATTTTGAGCCTGGCATGTCATACACAAGTCCTCTCTTTGTTCTTATAGGTGAAGATAAGTTAAGTACTCTTTGCTTTCGAGCAATAATCTTACCTTTGCCCCCTCTGCATTGTGAGTTGGGGAGATCTAAAACATTTTATATAATAATTCTTTTGTATTGAAATTTTAATTTGTTTTGAAAACATTAGGGTCTTCAAACTGTTTTGGTTAATGGGTGAAAGTAATGGTTAAATGGTTAAGTAATGCTCTTTATCACTGCCAGACTTACTGCTGGACTTGTGAATGCTTCTGACGTGAACATTCAGATTCATATCAGTGTCTAATGCTGCCCTTACAATATCTTCAGTTTGAAATATCTACAGTCATTTTGCTCAAAATATTTCAACTTCCTTTGAAATATCTTAATCCCAATATTGAACCAATTTAGTCTTTTTAGTGTTAAAGTTGTAATTGTGTATTAAGAAGTTAAAATCTGGGCAGTACTGAATAAATTTCAAGTGTTTCATTCAAATTTTCTTCATGGTGCTGATAATTTTGCTTATTCTTCACCAGCACCACTGCTACCTGAGTCTCTGTGGTATATTTACTACTAGTGAACAAGACCTAAGATAATGTCATATACTTTCTTTAATTGTGTGGAACTTGTTGCTCTCCAGGAAGGGTACTTACATTGATGTTTACAATTTACTTGTTACAGCTGGTTATTGTGTGATTACTTATATCCTTGGAGTTGGAGATAGACATCTGGATAATCTACTGCTAACAAAAACAGGTAATTCTTTTTAGCAGTATAATTTTGTAGCAGCAGTTGTTTAATTTGTAATGTGTTGGCACTTTTTTGTTCCATTTTCCTTGTGAGTATAACCCACTGAATGTTGTAGATTAGAATATATTTTAAAATGTAAGTTATATTGTCTCTTTTAAGGTAACATTTGATCCAGTGATTAAGAAGAAGACTTCTTAACTAGAGGAAATGAAGGATTTGAAAGCTAAACTATTCCAACTATTAGAATCAGTGCTTTGGGAGGGAGGGAAATGCAAGTGTTTTTGTTGAAAATGAGTTCATATGTATCTGCATAAACGTCACGAAGTTTTTGCAAATAACATTTCTTATAGGAGACTTTTTTTTTTCCCAATTTTTGTGCTGGGCTTATTTTTACTTGCTTGCTTACTTTTGAACTACTACTTCCCTAGGAGTTCTGATGCCTTGAATACCTTCATTACATAGTGATGGAGAGTTAAGAGTTGTGGTTGAATGTTTGTTATAAAGTGAAATGCTTATTGAATGAGAAACATATAAATAAAAAATGTTATTTGGAAAAAGAAGGAGGAGGCTTGTTAGTTTTACAGATAAGGCTGAAGCTTGTATTGCTTTGAACAGGCATACTCTTAAAGAGTAGAAAATTAACACTGGGCCTTGATTAGGGTAAAAGGTCTTTCTCTAAGCTCACAGGGGAACAACTAAAGGAAGTGTATTTTTCCTTATCTGCTTGAAAATGTACAAACAGTAGTTTAAAAATGTGTCTTGGGAGGTCTCTGTCATTTGTCAATGGTGATGAGTATATATCTTTTCGTAGCACGCTCTTCTTCCTGAAGTAGCAATAGTTTAGTGTTTTGATTTTGGGATAAAATGCATCTTGCCTGTCTCTGTTAAAGAGTAACAGCACAGTGACTTAGTGGAAGAGTTTAGGGAGTGCAGCAGAGGGCAGTGCACATCCACCATACACCCTGAGCCTGACTGCATGTGCTCTGCCACATGCTGAGAGGTTTTGTGAGAAATCCTTGTGTTCCAAATACAACAAAGACTTGCTGCAAAGGCTTGTGTCTTGCTACAGAGAATCCCTTAGCCTTAAGTTGGAAAAAACTAATTTCATTCTTCTCTTGAAGGATCCATGCTCTAAGTACCTTCTTCAAAATTGTATGACCCTATATGCATCCTTTCTTGATGATATTTATTTAATTAATTGAAGGCTTCCAGTACGGTAAAGGATGCTGGGTACCAACTGTGGGTTCACAGACATCTCTTGCATTTATATGGCAATAAATACCATTAACATTTTTTGGCTCTACCTTTTAGTTCCGTGAATGTAGCCACATCTCTGTTTGACTCCTTCAGATAGAATTGGTGCACCACCTTCTAACATACAAATGTCTATGTTCTAATAGATGCAGTATAATTTAAATATTAAGCAGTAGTTACTGACATTCATAAAAAACAAGTTGTTTCCTACTCAGTCTTAGGAATGTATTTTTTATGTGACCGTGTCAGTTATCTTGATGAAGTAATTTCTGCGGTCTTTCATGACTCTTATGCCTATAGTTCTGGAAACAGAACTATAGTTAGTAGTGTTGAGCAGGACATCTAAATTTTCAGGTTTTTAAGTGCTCTGTATCATTTTACTTCAAGGACAACTGTAGCAGTTTTTGTGGAAAGAGATACGGGAAACTTTCAGGCAAAACATCCTTATGTGTCAGTAATGTTAAAAATTGCAAGAGTACTTGCATCAGTTTCATAAATGGGTCTTAGCTAGTGACCTGAAGGTCGTATTATATAGTCAGTATTGCATAACAGGAATATTTATTTTCTCTGAAAACTTTGAATTTTCTACTTCTTCTGGAGATTAAATATATTATTAATTGCTCTGTATTATAATTTCTTGTTTCCAGATCTTTAGCAGCAAATATTACTGTGCTTTGTAAACAGTAAGACACTTTCGCAGCTGAATGCCCAGTTTTAAGCAGTATCAGTGCCTCCTTTTAGGGTTACAGACTGGTTTATATATCAAAGCCAGCACCTGAATCAACAGCTAATGTTCCCTTTGTTGCCTTGGAAAGACAAGCTGGGTGGTTGTGAAGCGGGATTGTGATACATGAGGTGTATGTTCAGTTAACTTTAATGGAAGATCCACTAGGCCAGTATGTTGCAATTCATGCCTTCCCCCAAAAACACTTTGTTCTGCATTTGTTCCACTCTCTGATTTTGATTGTAGAGTTGGGATCTAGGTACTGATAAAATACCCAGATATGGATGTCTTCATGTTTCCTAAACCTTTTAGAAGAGTAAGACATCAGTACAGTCATCAGTAGTGTTTCAGCTTTCACAAAGAAGTGTAGTCTCCCTTCCCATTAGAGTTGTCTTAGTAATTTCAACTTACTTTATAGACATAAAAAGATTTCCCGAAGGTCCAGGCTGTGTGTAGATATTTCAGGATATCCTAGACTTTCAAATGGCTTTCTTGAGTGGCCGGGCATGTGGTGTGTCTGACGAGCTAACCCACCCTGGTGACTGGCCAGCTTCATCTTTCAATAATCCCTTTGTGTGGATTCAAGTCCCCAGTGTGCGTTCCCAAAGTGTACTTTGACCTGAGCCATACACCTGAAATTGTTCTGTAGCAGGAGGGCAAATTGCTATGTGGATAAAATCAGGTTATAAATATCTTCAGAGCAGGTCAAAGACTGAGCAGTCAGAACTTGAAAACCACATTTGGTCATTTGGTTTTAGCATCATGTTACATGTGCTATCATGTGTTGATAGGTGAAAGGGCTGTACTGTCTTCTAATTTAATCCTTAGAGGTAGAGCTGTGGTCCGTCTCCAGTGTGAAGTGCCCCAACTGACATCAGATTTATTCCTCAGTCTTGGTTAGAAAGGGTTGCCAGCAGGGACCTAAACAGATCCACATGTGAGATGACACCATGTGTTTTGTATTTCCAGATGGTCAAAACCATCTATCCTAAAGCAGGTTTGAAGATTACAAAAATGGAAGAACTATGGGATTCAAACCTTCCCTCTATATCAGTGTTTAGATAAGCACATTGTTAAATCTGTTTATTAATGGTGCAAACTACTATAGTATGTAAAATGTAGTAGAATTTTTAAACGTGTTTTCAAATGTTGCTGGTCTTGATAGGGGAAAATCCTTATTTAAAAAAAAAAACAAACTAACATATACTTTTATCCTTTAGATTCTCCCTGCAACTCCATTTTCTGTGATGCTTATTGCAAAAAGACCATAACTCTTAGCTGTTGATCTGCTAAAACTTTTTCTCTTACAGATATCTTGAACAGTATTTCTCATTTACCAATATACATCAAACATATTTTTTTCTGTGATATGGAATTTTTTCTTAATTTATCGAGCGTATTTTGAGAATGGACATCCCAGTTGTTCTAACTAGGACAACAGCTTGAGGGGAGAAGTTGGAAGTTACAATCCTAAGGACAAGCTGAGCTCCTATTGATCATATGGATGACGGTGATAAGCTTTACCCCCAGCTGTTGCTGCATAATGACTTTAAAACCTGTATCCTGAATAAGTCATTAAAAACTCATGTTACTTTCACTTTTGTATAGTCTTGGAAAAGTTGTAACATGCTGCTGATGAAAATGATGACAATAAATTAGGAATTCTGATTTTTGTCAGCATGGCAATGCTCTGTTAACAAAGGCAAGATTTTGACAGTAGTGTCAGAATTTGCTGGGAAAGCCAGAAAACCACCCCATCCATCTAACCATTTTCATCAGAGGAGTTTTTATGCTGTCGTTTCAAGTTTAAAAATAGGAATTCAGTTAAAATAGTCACTAAATTGTACTTTTTTGTTATGAGCCATGTTAAAATAATGGTGGGGCTTAGGGGTTACAGGAAAAGTACTGAAGTACTGAGCTTGGGGTTTGTTGTGTTTTGGTTGGTTGTTTTTTCCCTCCAGCAATGAGAACAGAGCAGTTTGAGATAATTTGTAAGACTTTTTTACTCTTAAAAGACAATTGTCATCAAACTTATTATATTTCTGTAATTGCATCTCATTTGCTTTGTCTTCTGCCTTTCATTTAAGGTTTTCAGAGTCCTGTACTGGTTTCAGTAGTTTTTTGTAACTGTCCTCTAGTGAAATGGAAAAATTACTGCTATATGAGAACTTTTTCCTCTACTAAATCTAGGTATTAGCAGTAAAAGTGATGGACAAATCAGCCTCTCCAGCTGCAGTCAGCTGTTATTGGCTATTGCAAGCACCAGGTATCAATTTTTAGTCTCTAAAGGTCCATGCTTCACTTAATCAAAGATAACTCTCAAGGCTGAAAGGAACTCAGATGGACTTTGAAATCCCTGATGCCCTGACTGCTAGTTGGGCAAACTTTCCATGTTTCATGCCATTTCCTTGAGGTCTCCAAGGGCCTGTCCTCTTTATTCCAGTATGTTAGAAATCCAGGTATTCAGTAGAAAAATGTAGTCAAACGCAAGAAATAAATAAATAATTTTTTTAAAAGGCAAGCTTAAAAATACTCACCAGTATCAGCTTTTAGGTTTTAAATGAAATAATTTCGTGTGCATGCCGCATTATTACTTTTTTCTGCAAGCTTTTTTTCCTCTTCCAGTCAGTAACTGCCTTCTCTTGCTTTTCCTACAGTAAAATACTTTAAATGGGGAGTTCAGAGTGGGCTTGAAAAATATAAAATATATTTAACGTATTTAAATGGAAGATTTGGACATACATTACTAGGGCACTGGTTTTAAGGTAAGAGACTCTGCAGGAAGTCTTTCCTGCAGAGATTTTTCCTGCTTCCTGAAAGAAGTCTTTTAGACTTTGAGGAGTGAGCCACTTTGAACATCAGAAGTGTCTCTCCAGAGCTCTGTATCTTGGACTCCTTGTGGGTGCCTACAGTCTTCCTCTGAGCCTTGAGACAGAGCAGGAATTTCATGCATGCCTGTCTGTGGTCTTGAGGTGTTTCCTGAATTGTTTTCTCAGATGCCTAAAATCCCCCACTTTTATGAGGAACTCATATTTTTAAAGAAGTGTCTGAAGATTTCAGAGTCTATATATTAGAAATCCAAGGCCTTCTATACCTAGCCCTACAAGAATTTAAGGAGCTCAGAGGATGAAATCTGTTTCACCTACTGTCTTAAATAACTCCTGGTTTTAGTTTAAATCATGACCGAAATGAAAGTAAAATCTCCCCCATATGATTTAGCAGTCATTTGGGAACAGTAATGAACCAAAGCTAAAGGTCCAGTTTTGTCTGTAATTTATAGACATGTCTAATAATTAAGAGCCCTTTAAATTAAGATGTAATAAATCTGAAGAAGTTGGATCATGGTAAAACATGATGGTCTAAGAGATAGAAGTGTATGTGTTATGACACTCACACTGTCTGTTGAAGGAAGGACATGTAATTGTTTTATAAAACGTGGAAGTTCAAGGCCTTTAGAGGAGGTGGTGTTACACAAAGGTCACGTGCAGTCTAATTTGGTGAGCAGTCAGGTGATAACTGTATATAAATACCATGATATGAGTATGAAGGATTACAGTGAGGTGGCTGGTACAGGTTGTACAGTACGTCCCTGGAGACATTCAGAAACTGCCTGGACGTGGTCCTGGTCAAGGCAGCTGGCTCTGGGTGGCCCTGCTCAACCAGGCGGTTGGACCAGGTGTCCTCTAGAGGTCCCTTCCACCCTCACCCACTCTGTGATTCTGTGAAATGAAGGTTGCATGGAATCATCTTCTAAATTCTGTTGAGAAGGTGTGCATGTGCTTCTTGCCAACCATGTTACATAACTAAGAAGCTGTCAAATACAGACTGCCCAAAATTAGTGACTCTCCAGAACTAAAAATCTCTCTCAAAACCTGCCCAAACAAGATACTCATTCTGCTGTAGACTGTTTTTCAGCTATGGTTACTAGACAAGCATTGTCTTACCCGGGGTTGACAAATTTCAAATGAGTAATGTTTTGAGTAATGTAAAAACAAACAAACAAACAAACCCAAATATCTTTGGGTTGACCAAAAAAACAATTCCTAAGTTGTTCCTGGCAGGTTTTGCCCCCATCCTTAAGACACATGTCGGGACTGATGGCTATGTTACAACACAATGAGCTTTTCACAGTGAAAAGTGAATTCTTACAGAATAAAAAATCTTATTAAATATATTTTCTGTCTTCTTAAAAAATGAACTCTTGGTACAGTAATTTTTAGAGCAAAGTGGGGGTTTTTGTGTTTTTGTTTTGATTTGGGTTTTTTGTTTGTTTGTTTTTCTTATTTGTCTTGAAGTTCATATAATAAACAAAAGTTTGCTTTATACAGACTGCCTAGATTGCTGTTTTTATCCTGCTCTGTCTGCTACTATTTAGTATTTGCTGATACTAAACCTTGTCAAACAGATACCAGAAAATTTCTCCAACCCTGTTCTAGTAATAGGGCTTATGCTGAGTGATAATATCACATTCATTAATGTTTTGAAAGTGGAACAAACATTCATTGTTATACTCTGATACAAATTTCTCTTGAAATGATCACTTGAGATACTTGCAACCTTTTATCTTAATACTAGAAGATTTCAAAGCATCAATTTCATTATCTTGATAAATTCATTATTTATTAACGTAAGTAAGAATATAAACATCACCTAATTGGCGGTATTAAATGTGCAGCCAATTTAACTTGTCCAAAGCAGGCTTGCTCTTCGCTTCTCCAGTTATGATTAAGTCCTTGAGGGGAATATGGGTCAAGTTTCTCTGTGGAAATCTCTAGGACTGAAGTGCTCTCTCAGGCTGCTCCCCCTGTGCTGGTGTAGGAGCTTCAGGCAGACCCCAGGGAGAACCCTCTGTCCATGTTCTGTGGCATGGTGGGCTGGTTTAGTTATCTTGGAGGAGCTGCATTAAAATTAGTCAAGTCTGTGTTTAGTACACGGGTTTGAAAAGTATTAAATATATTTAATGCATTTAAATGGAAGCTTTGTACATACATTTTGAGTCAGCCAGAAAATCTGCTGGATTTTTAAGTTCAGCTAGTAAAACTATAATGTTAATGCAGAGATGACCTCATCTCATACTTTGTAAGTGTCTACTGCTCAACTACTGGAATGTTTTTGAATGTTTTAGGTGCATCTTTGTTACCAATATAAATTATTCATTATCATCTTTTATTCCCTATCTCCAGAGCAAACTAGAAAAAAAAATTACTGCCACAGGAGTCACTATTTTATTCAAAATTTTATCTCTTGACTCTTCAAGGTGACAGGTTTGAATAAGTGAACAGAAAACAGGTCCCCAAAACTTTTTAATTAAACATTTTTTGTAACTTAGTGGTGGGAGGGGTTGTGTATGTTCAAACTTCAAAAAGTTGGTGTACAAAAATGATATCTAAAAGTAGCTCCTATACCACCACAGAAAAAACGTATTGAAGGAAAGAAGGCTTTTTTATAACACAATGAGTTATGCAAAATGTAGTGGTTATGCCACTTATGAATCAGCAAATACTTTGCCTGCCTTTTAAGGTTCCATGTGATCTCCCATAGAAAATTGACTGTGGTGGAATTTGATTCTTGGGTTGAAAAAGTGTTTATGACAGATATCAAACAGCCTTCTCTATTGATATTACATTATTATTCAGTGAAATAGTCAGAAACTGGCGAAATAAACACTTGAAGAAAAGTACCAAGATCAGTGTTTACAGAGCCATAGTGCTGTCTACTCTCTTATATGGTTCCGAATCATGGGTCATCTACCGCCACCACCTGCGTCTCCTAGAACGCTTCCATCAACGCTGCCTCTGTTCAATCCTAAACATCCACTGGTCAGATTTTGTGACCAATACATCTGTTCTAGAACAAGCAACTGTCACGAGTATTGAGGCCATGTTACTGAGAACACAGTTGTGTTGGGCAGGGCAAGTCTCCAGGATGAAGGACCAACCACCGCCTCCCTAAGATCTTGCTTTATGGTGAACTTGCCCCTGGCTGCCGCAAGAGAGGAGCCCCGAAGAAAAGATACAAGGACTCCCTGAAACATCTCAGCCTTGGCCATATTGATCATCATAACTGGTCTACTCTGACCTCCAATCGGGAGGCCTGGAGACACACTATCTGTAACACTGCTGATGCTTTTGAGAAAGCACACGGGATCACCCTTGAGGAGAAAGACAACGCAGAAAGAATCGTGCCTTGCAGAATTTACCACCTAAGGAATCTTTCTGCTGTGCCTTTTGCAATCGGACATACCTATCTCATATTGGCCTTTTCAACCACCAGCGTGCTTGTGACAAATGTGGGTAGAGCCCTTCCCAAATCTTCATTTGCGAAGCCTAGCCGTTCAGTGAAATAGTCAGAGGGGTGACTAATTGAAAAATACTGAGCCTTTTTTTTTTTCAGGAGCGCTGAGCACCTAATCTTATGAAAATCTCAGTGAATATAGGTGCTGTAGATTAAAGCACCTCTTAGCAAATGCATCCCTTTGTAGTGCTGTTCAGTTCCATAATTCTGAAACAAGACTCTGTGTTCTGTGCTGTCTCTCTGTCTAGATAACAATCGTGCTAAAATTTTCTACATTCTTGTTTAAAAGATCTTTTATCTTGTATCTGTGTGAATATCTGCAATCTCACCATCTTTTTGTGATGTAGTTCTGCTATGGCCCAAGTCATTGCTTAAATTACACATTTCAAACTGAAAAAACATTTGCAGAACACTTTGAAAAACATTTTTTTTTGCTTTATGTAAGTGAATCAAGAGTGTTCCTAGGAAATGGCCTCCTAAGAATTATGAATTGTTCTACTTTGATTTCTATTAACAACATTGTGTATTTATATAATATTTAGTCTTCAGTATATCCAGATATTTTAGGTTTTTTGAAGTTGCTGGTAAACTGCAGTTTACCGACTGAAGTTCAATTTTGTGTTGTGTCTCACACTTGGCTCGGTACTACTGAAGGGAAATACAGTGAATTCTCCCCAGTAAAGGTGTGAGCACCGTGGTGAGAAGCATGGCCATGTGCAAGTTCTTGATATGAAGGGAAGTTGCCTTGTGCATTTGAAGACAGCAGGTATATAGAAGTTTTTTGTTACATTAATGCTGCAGAAATGTTTTAAATGTAGTCAGTTGAAAGGGAGAAGGTAGTGATCAAGTGTTGTAGCTCATTTTAGTACTGAAAGAGTGCATGACAGACTTTGGTGCCTTTGCAGTACAATTTCAGATTTGGAGTTGTTGTGATGTTTCTTCAATATATTTCCAAGCTGTTGATAAATTTTGACCTTACTCAATTCAAAAGACTTTTGAAACCGCATTGAAGTCTTCTTTGGTATTTAGTGGCTTCAAAAGGTTGTTGTTAGGATCCTGAGTCTTATTTTCCCTTTGTTGTATTAGTTCTGTGTCAAGTTTACCATATTTCATGCCACAGCAACTGAACAGGATGCACACATTGCACTGCTTTTAGTATTATTTTAATTTGCTAATACATTCTAAAGAAAGTGAAAAGACTTAATAGTATCTATTATATAAATTGAGCATTAAATATCTACAAACCAGTTTTAAATATTGGTTCAGTCTTGTGAATATACTCCATATGTTTAAAAATCAAAAAAGCAGAAAAAGCGATCTTGCTTTTCAGTACGCCTAGTGAATTTGAAATCAGCTTTACTTCTTGAAAACCACAATTTCAAGTTAACAACTGAATATATAAATGAATATATAAATATACTGTTATAAACCTTACACAAAAGAATGAATTTTATTTTCTGAGAGCTCCCTACTGTCTCTAGAGACTAGACTTAAAAATTCTATTTTTCTAAGCTTTGCATGAAGAACTGTGTGACATTTTTGCCTTTCTTTCCTCTGCAGGTAAACTGTTCCACATTGACTTCGGTTACATTTTGGGCCGGGACCCCAAACCCCTTCCTCCCCCGATGAAGCTGAACAAGGAGATGGTGGAAGGCATGGGAGGGACACAGAGTGAGCAGTACCAGGAGTTCCGCAAGCAGTGCTACACGGCCTTCCTGCATCTCCGCAGGTAACAGGGCTCGTTTTGTGCTGGAATTTGTTAGAGCCGCCATAAAGCAGGAGAGAAGAGGAGCAACTGAATCACTGAAATGTTTCTGTGGAAAACCCAAAACTTGCTTAAGTGTGAATGTAAACTCAAGAATTTGTATGAAACAAAGGAATGAAAACATAGTAGCGGTGGTGGAGCTTGAATGTAATTGTTCTTCAAGTTAAATCCCCCAGCTTTGCTTGTTTAGTAACTTAAATAGCTTTATTTTGGAACTTGTATGGGGTGTCAAATTATATATTTCTTTTTTGGGTATGTTTTTGCCCTTAAGCATGTTTTCCTCTGGTTATTGATGATCAAGTAATTGTCATTTTAACTCTTAAGTCATTACTCATTTGCTGCTTTATCCTCCTCCAGCTTAGATTAGTGACGATCAAATTCTTTGGCTTGAAGCTGACACACACATATGCTTAGTTGACTTCAGGTCCTGTGGGACAAAAATTAGCTGCTTGTAGTGACAATCAAATATGTTAGAAATTTCTTTAGATATCCAGAACTGTGGCAGCTAAAACCTCTTTAGACTCTGTGTGTCTACAGACCAACAGATCTCTTCTTTAAATTTGGAATCAGCTTCATTCTTTTCCAGTGACTGTATTACTTACCATCAGCTTTCTGAGCTCAGCTTTGTTCTGTTTAAACAGAACACAGGTAAGCACTCTTGGTCTGTCCAGGGATTTGATTTACCACATCTTCAATAGAGATGAAATAATCTCACTTTAATATCAGGATTACATAATACAAACCTCCAAATATGTGGAAAAAACCAGTAATATGGAAAGCATATGTGAAAAGTACAATGTAATATGAAAAGCAGTCAGTCAATGATATGAAATAAAATGCTGTATGTAGTTCTCCACTTGTTAAATGGAGAAAGAGTAAGGAGTTGGTCTAAGAACTAATATTACTGGCTTAAAAGCAATTCAACAACTTGAAAAAACAGTGGCATGTTATCAGCAAACAATACTTGTGGTGTCAGAGAACAATCAGAAAGGCTAATGCATATTCCAAGTTCTGAATTGCTTAAAGGTGTTTTGTAATGCTTTATTTCTTATTTGTCATATACTGAAGTTGTTTTGATTGTTTAAACCTAGCTGTTTCAATGGAGAGGTCTGTTGTGTCAGTGAAGGATTATTCATTGAATTAATTTATGTAATGATTTGCTACAAAGATCATCAGTAGGTGTGGAGTATAGCAGTAATTTGGGTATACAACCTAAACTGTAAATCAAGATAGGTTCATTTATAATGTCTGTGATTGTAGTTGTAATTGTAGTCTCTCCAGTATTTGTTCAGCTTAATAGGGAAATATTTTTAAATGGTTCTGGATAAATATCCTTAAGGCTTTCAACAGAGATAGTGTGGGAGAATATTAGAATTACTGTAGCTATTACTTCAAGCAGCTAGAACTAAAAATTATTGAGCTTGCTTGCTTATTGAAAAAAAAGAACAACTGGATGTGGAACTGCTTAGTTCTAACAACTCTGCATGTTGGCAGAAACCCACTCACAGATACACCTTCTGGCCAAGTAGTGTGAAACCATAACTTCTGATTGCTAAGACAAAATGCAAACTCTGTCATGTTCCCCAGTTTGTGTTTCATTTTTGTTCTTTATTTCCCTGAGGTGTAACCAGTTCCTTACATATGTCAAGTACTGTATGTTGGTGTTCCACGATTCCTACTGGAATGGGTGTTGCACAGTGAAAACAAATATAAGGAATTTAAAAGTTACAAGTAAAACAATAGTTCTGTTCATTGTTCCAGATTGTAAGCATTTTGGCATTATTATCATGATTATTATTTTGTGGTTTTTTGTTTGTTTGGGGGCTTTGCGGGAAGTTGGGGAGATGCTTTCTACTTCCTTGAACAGCAGTAATGGGTTGTGTGGGTTTGTCAGCAGTGCTGTAATAAAGGAGCAGCCTCTGCATTCTGAGTGTGTTGCAGGGCAAGTTGTGGCTGGTATCATTTATGAAAGCCAACTGGGACATGACAGTGTTTGGGGAGTGTAGGTGGTCTTGAGAAGAAGTGAGCCATGGGGGGATCCTGATTTACACTGAAAAAAGGCAATTGCATTTTAAACTTAGGAATTTTTGACCAGGTAAACAGGGCCTTAGTCTGGGACTGCAAATAACTGTAAACTCTCTTGTCCTTGTCTTGTAGCTTCGAATTTGGTAGAGTATTTGCAGTGTCAACAGCCTAAATATTTAATTACTCTTGGGCATCTATATGCAAAGGAGCCAAGTAAATGTTGGAAAAATAAATAAAGGAATGCTTAGGATCAAGCATTTATTTGATATATTAAGCACTTAAAACCAAAAGTTTCTGTTCTCAGAAAACACAGCAGTGAGAATTTGAGCTTCTGTCTGTTGTGCATTTCTTCCTAATACATAAGGCCTCTTCTATGTAGGAGTTTTTTTCTTGGATTTCTTTAAGTTTAACAGCACTTCATGTTAAAATTGTAAGTTAATCAACCTTCAGTGTAGCCAAGTGCTCATCTGTTTCGTAAGTTAGCTTGTACTGAGCTTTGAGAAAAGCAAATTGTGTGAGAAGGATTTGGGTTTGTATTTAGGTGCTTAATTGAACCTTCTTAAACCTAGGAATTCCTGTCTCCAAGTTTGTTCTGGCTGTGAATGGAAGTCAGCCATTCTGGAGGACTCTGTAATGCAGATGTCAAAGATGAGTGATATCACTTGCTTGACAAAGGTGTTTGTTTCTTACAGGTCAGCCTCCTAGCTCAGGTGAGTCAGCAGAATGTCTCCTCTTAGGATGAATTTGGGCTGTCAGTTCTCCAGCTGTGAACCTCATGGCATATTTGCCAAATATGTAGCCTGTAAGAAGGATGGCAGTGGACTACTGAGTTACAGAAATGCTGGGGTGAGGGGCAGAGGAGAGACCTGTGGATAATATAGTGAACAACTCTTTCTTAATCTGGGTTTTTTTCTACTCAATACCTCCCCCAAAACTACTTTTTTTTTTTTTTTTAACGAGGTTCTTTAGATGACCTTATGTTTCAAGAACCAAAAGACTTGATTGTGGGGAACAGAACCAGCTCTTAACTGGCATCTAACAATGATGAGTAGACCTTTAAAATCTTTTTTACAAGCCTCCATCACATAAATAACTCCAGTAACCACCTGCAGTGCTCATAAGCTCTTGTCCTCTATGCATTTCAAGAGCAAAAGGGTCTCAGGGTCAGTTCAAAGGAAAAACTGCTGATGGAAGCTACCAGTAACCTACGAAGAGACTTGAGAGCACATACGTGTAAGATTTAACCATGTTTAAAGTAGATTTGTTTGTTTCAGACAGGTAGGGAAAAAAAAAATCAGTACTATCTGTGATGTCTGTTCCTGGCAGCAAAGCAACTTGACTGCCAGATTTCTTATCCAGGTCTGAAGCAAAATGGTAGAGTAACTTTTCTACTTCTCTTTTGACTTGTGGTAAAAGTAATTTTCCCCACTCCAGTCCCTCACCCCTTTGAAAGTCAAACAGAACAGTTGAAACAAAGGAGACACTGAAGATTTATGGACAAACAGTTTATTTCAAATGCTTGTGTTATAAAACCTTAAATCTTATATGGGAATGTGTTAGGTAGTGCTAGTTCCAGATAATAATTAAGTATCATGAGTATTTGATGGAATTACACTTGTCTAGAGAGATGGTTTTTTGAGCAGTATTTACTTTGTAAAATATGCCCATGAAGCAATCATTTTGTATGGTTAAAATACTTTGTACTTGCAACTGTCAGCTTATATATGTTCAGCAGCTTCCTAATAAACAATTTTTGCTGCTAAGAATTCATTTTCTATCATCTGTGAAGTTCCTGATGCTCTTAGCAAAGCAATATTTCAAATTTTGAGGTCTGTTACATACATTGTCTCTTTAAGAGAACTAGACCTCTTTGCAGAGGAAGGTGAGTTTCAGCTTATGTTGAACAGCTTGAAAATTATCCTTTCAAAAAGCAGCTTACAGCTAATTTCCTGCAAGGGCAGAATAGTTTTCTTTAAAAAAATAGTACTGAGTGCTTCCAAAACCATTTCAAAGCTGAAAACTGTTCTCTGCCTTGTCTGTTTTAATGGTTATAGATGACATATGTACTTCGTAAGTGTAGCATGCTACCACTGTTACTGGAGCTTAACTGAGCAACTGAAGACTTGGATCTGGTTAAATATTTAACTTGTTGTGTCAAAAGCCCTTACAGTGACTTGAAAAATCATGTCTTGTAATTATGAAGAGTTCAGCTCTCAGAATGCTAATTTATATCATACTGCCGTATCGCTTTTTAATAAAAAATAACCTTTGAATCAGTATTCTAGCAAATGTTTGTCCTGCTTGAGGTAGAAAATGGCATTAAATCTTAAAATATATGAAATCACAGTTTATATTTGATGTGTCTCTGAGTAAATGTTCTGGTAATTTTAGCAAATTATAACAAAATCAGGGCAATTTATTGAGTTTTGACTGTGTGAGAGAGTTTGAGGGTTAAACTTTGATGATTAATGTCAGTATCTTATGTTCTTAGCATAAATATATTCAATTAAATGTTGCAAATGGACCTCTGAAGAATTACCAATTCACTCTTAAGATGATGAGTTCTTAAGTTGTTTACAAAAAATGTCTTTTGTGCAGTTTACAAAGTGTTTTACGTAATTTGCTCTTCTGCTTAGGTATTCCAACTTGATCTTGAACTTATTTTCTCTCATGGTGGATGCCAACATTCCAGATATTGCTCTTGAACCCGACAAGACTGTAAAAAAGGTAACTGAAAAGCTTTCCTTGTCTTTCTGTAACCTAGGTCATCTCATTAAGAAATGTTCAGTCACTTGTGATGACTTTTTTTGTATCTGACCTGAGAACACTTGCTCCCATTCAGGAAATTTTGATCAATTTCTAGAATCATTGAAGTTAAAGATAGGAGCGTGTGCTTTGAGATCATTTAGCACATGTGCCCATAAATACAGAATGGCTTTTTATCATCCATGCAGTAGTGCACAGTCTGCCCTAGCACTCTGTTCCAAGGGGTATTTTAGGTGAGAACACTGTTCCCACCTTATCAAACCTTTTATAACCAAAGCAGTCAACACTGACTATATCATGAAAGGTTGTTCCATCTAGTGTAGATTACTGTGAGTCATGGATGGTTTTATAAAACCAGTCTGCTGAAGGTTTGAAACCTGTAGGCTGGTATGTCTTCATCCACAAGAAATTTTTGTTTATTGTGAAAACAGGCTGATGTCCCATAATTCTGACTTTGTCCCTCTACTCCAGCTTGAGCCATTCTTCTCCATTTGGTGTTTGAGCACCAGTTGACATGAAAAATACTGGATCCGTGTTCATCTAGATTTCATTGCACTTACATTTTAGACAAATGTTGGCTCTTTTATAACCTGGTTTATAGTGAAGGGCTATGTATTTTAATTCCACAAAGGACTTTGTGGAGCCTCTGTATCCAATGGAAATTAGTTCAGTGTAATTTTTATTTCAGCTGTGGATTTTCTCTAAAAAAAGGTTGTTCTTCATTGTTTTCAATAAGCTATGAAAGCAGAGATTCAGAATCTTTAAATTAATATTTCATGTTCTAATGTAATTTCCCCAAAGAAGACTAAATTGTGACTCAAACAAAGTGGGGTTTTTTTGCCTTCAAAAATCTGAGCATTTCTGTTCAGAGTTCCTTGGTTTCAAATTGATACAAAGAGTTCATGTAGCTATTCAATTTCATTTCCAGGAAGGCTGAGCTAGCCACAAATGCTGTGTTTTATGGTAAAGGTGACAGTCCTCCCTCCACATGACTGTCTTCCTGAGAAAATGACAGCTAATTCTTTGTCTATATCAATATTTGAACCTCACTTCTGTCCCTAAATGCCCTACAAAGACTAAGTAGATAACTCACATACAACATGGGAGATAAAAGCCTAAAGTAGCCAGCTAAAATGGTTCAATACCTACCAAGTTCTGGGAGTAACTACATTTTTGTAGAGACACCTTCTTTTGAAGGAAGAGACCTTCCTAGCAGTATGCAACTCCTGTCTATGAATTTCATTTTTATAAAGAAGACTTGTTTAAATCTTACTACCCACTGGAAAAAGGCATGATATACAGTAAGGGAGGGGAAGATCTTTTAGATTGCAAAGTTTACAAATAGATGCACCATAAATCCTAGGAAATTTGAAGTATGCAACTACAGGCAGAGCAGAGAGTAATTTTTGGGAAAGTTTGTTGTTGACTGAAACAGTCATCAAGACACCAAACAAATGGTTTCATTGAATTTCAGAAGTGCTGGTTCTTTCATGTTACTATCAGTAGGTTTGAGACTTGCTGTGTATTTTAATCTTACTCAGTATCTGTTCAGAGTTCCCTGTCGTTTGATCATAGAATCCCAGAATTTGGGTTGGAAGGGACCTTAAAATTCATCTTGTTCCCACCCCCTGACATGGCAGGGACACCTTCCACTAGACATGTGGCATTGTTCATTCCTGCCTTGAATACTCTCTCATGAGCTCTGATATGTTTTTATCAAACAGAATTTCCCAGTGCTTGCTAATTAACATGAAATATCCTTGTTTCTTGTTAGTATCTTGGCATTGCATTTTATGGTAGTAAACTCTCTAGAAGTGCTGTCCAAGGGTATATGGTTTCTGTAATTCATAATGATAGTAGGGCATCAGGTTCTGTAAAATACTTGTAAAGGATTATTTTAATATAGCAACATTTGAGTATTTCAGACAGTTCTAAAACTCTTTTAGTCTGTATAAATTTCCTGTATAATTTTCTTGAAATAACAGATCATCATACAGAATTAAAACCCAACAAGTCTTTTCTACAGCTAAGTATGTTACAGTTCACTGATGTACAGTGGTTAAAAATCAAGATTATGTAAAGCATGATGGCATTGTGTGCAATTGGAGATCATGGAAGGAAGCAGTATCTAAAAAGAAGTTGTGAGAGCCATGAATTAGATCCATGTGGTTACTTCTAAATTCCATTACAAAGTATAAATAATAGTGCCTTCTTTGCATGAAAAGCATAGTTGTTATATGACAGATCACTATTAGATCAAATGCAGCAATTAGTTACTGGGATTGTTAGCTCTGGCAGTGACTGCAGCTTGGTGAATTGTGACTTTTACCCTCATGTAAGTTCAAGGCTGTCTGTTCACAGAGGCTTTAAAATGTGTTTCAAACTCGAACTGAAGCAGTAAGGCAAGTGCTTCTGACAAGGAATGCAAATCACTTTCAAATGCTTTGAGAGGAAAAGATCCTACTTTTCTGGGTTCTCTGAGTTAATTTACAGTGTGCTTGTTCCTTTAAAAAACAAAAGAAGACCCACACAATAACATATTGTCAGAAAGATAGCCAAGTTTTTCAGATCTCCCAAGTATTGTTATTTTATATAAACTCTTTTTTTTTTCTTGACTGCTCAGCTGGTTTTGAGCACTATTAGCAGTTCAGATGTAGTCTTTTTGGTTCAAAATCAGCCTTTGAATATACTCCCTAAATTTGTGCAGAAGATAATATGTGATATGGGATCCCTGAAGATGAGGTGAACAGAGGAACCTTCCATAAAGCAGTTGTTGATATTATAATCTACTGGGTGCATATGACAATGTTGAAAGCTCATACAACAGCAGTTGTTTTATTTAGTTCTCAATTTTTGGGTTTACTGTTTTACTGGGGAAAAGAAACCTAAAAAAACAAAAACAAAAACAAACAAAACAAAACAAACACCAACCAACCAAACAAAAAAAAAACAACAAAAAAAAAAACCAACCAAGAACCACAAGAAAACCAGACAACAGCTGTAAATGGGCTGGAATCAGAATCATCTTAACCCGTTATATAATGGTGAGTAGGTCACTGTTGATTGGGGTTTTTTAAAATAATGTGTTAGAAAACTTATTTTGGGTATCTTTGTTAGCCCATCTCAAATCAGTTATAAACTTTGTTAGTACTAATAAAAGAAAGGAACAAGGTGTCTTGCATCTCTTGGGTTGAGTGGCAAGCTCGTTCAGTCATTTAACAAGGTAATACTGTACCTTGTTGTAGGAAAATTGAATAAATGCTTTCAGCATCTCAATTGATTTTTATTTTTTTCCTTAAAGCTTTAACAAAAAATCCATATATATATCAACAGACTCAAATTAGGTATAAGATCTATTTTGGACTGACCTGCAAAATTAAATTACCTTTGATGTGTGAGACAAGTCAATAGCCATTTCAGCCGTGGTATCACTTTCACCGGAGACCAAGGTGGAGATTTACAAATGTTTCTGTATCTAAGAAGGTGTCCTGGTAAACAGTGTAGGTGGAAGTTCATAGACAGCATTTTCCTCATTGATGCTGCAGTACACTCATAATCCTTTTTGTAGAGCCCTCCTTTTGGTCCATGCTCACTGGAGCCAGTGAGGCTCTAGTCCCACAGGCATCTGAAGTCAAGTAACACGGGTAACTAGTTAGGTTACCTTTAATTTTGAGATTAATCAGAATACTAGTTTTGTAATTAAACTGCAAGGAGAATGATGGTAGAAAAAAAAATTCTTTTCAAACGAAGGAATGCTTACTGAAGTATTGTATATATTATATATATTATAGCGCCTGTTGAAGTATTATACTGCAGTTATTTTGTCAAACAGTTTTTTGGCATAAAGATCTCTGATACTGGAAGTTTTTAGTAGGTGTAGCTATACTGCTGTTATCAAGTAGGCATGAATTACTCCAAGTGTTATTTCTAAAGAATATTTCTTTGCCATGTTAGATGGTAGCTCAAGTTCAAGTCTAATCTTTATGTTCATAAAGAGACATCATGTATCATCCTGACTTCAGTAGTCAGGGAGGTACTTTATGTTGCAGAAAGTATCTGCCTGCTAGTGAAAATACAGTCAGATGTAAAAACGTGCTGGCAAGTAAAGCTGCCTTTGGAAATAAAATGTTTTTTGTGTTCCTCTTTCCCAAACTTTCTGCTGAGATCTTAGAGCCAGAATGTAGGTTTAATCTTAGTAATCACATACATAATCTAAATAAGCATAAATATGCGTCTACCGTATGGTAATGATGGCTAGAGTGAAGTAAATTGAAAATAGAATAAAGAATACTATCGACATTGTCCATGTCTCAATTTCTTGCACTCTCTCTTGTCATTTCCTGTGGTATATAGGTGTATTATTATGGGATGCTTGCTAGTTAGACTAGTTAAGAGAAGATGGTTGAAAGTCAGCAATCCTTGGACTTTCTGATGTTCAGACAAATAAAGAAACCAAGTAAGACTGTAAAGAAACTTATACAGAATGTGTCCTCTTCAGTGAGGCATTGGATGATTTGAGTTATGATTTCATTTTTTTTCCTTTACGAATTTAAGACTCCTGTGTTAAGCGAGAGTTTTTAGAAAAATCTGAGTGCAGAAAGTATTCAGAAGGAATATCACGGCTAACGTGGGGAACAAAAAGGAAGGCAGGTTCTTTATCTTTTTTTTCCAATTTTTTTTTTTTTTTCAAAATAATGTGTACTATCTAATAACAGCTTGGCATCCCAGGAAGCTCACTGACAGAATGTAATTGTATAATCAAGCTTAACATCTTAAATGAAGGCATATTGCCCAGGTGTTGTTTCTGTCTAAGAGTTTTGGAAAGTCTTGGGAGAAATGCACATCAAGTGAAGTCAAAATTGGAACAGCAGCTTCTGTCGTGTGTAACTTTGTGCAAAATAAGTATAGATTGCACCTCTGACGTGGTTTATGGCACAGGTGTGTTCCTGTCCTCCTTGAAG